AAGAAAAAAAGACAGCTAGTGGGCGGGGTTAGTGTTAGCTAAAATAAGTCTGATTTTGGCTAATGAAACTAACCTAAGAAAATAAAGGGCGGGTGGGTGGGGCTAGTACTTGCTAAGATAAAACTAATTTTGGCGAATGATATACCCTCTTAAAAAATAGAGGGTTGGAGGGCGGGGCAAGTACTTGTTAAGATAAGGTTGATTTTAGCAAATGAAATGTCCTATAAGAACACAGAGGGAAGGTGGGCGGAGCTTGTACTTACTAAGATACGACTGATTTTGGCAAATGACAGTCTCTAAGAAAAGAAAGGGAGGGTGGGCGGGGCTAGTACTCGCTAAATTAAGACTGATTTAGGCAAATTACATACCTTCTGAAGAAAATAGAGGGCGGGTGGGCGGGGCATGTAAAGATAAGACTGATTTTATTTTCCACTTTCTAGATTTTTAAATTGTGGATTTTCCGATTTTTCTATTATTAAACTCTTAAAATTTTTTCTTTTGCCAATTTTTCAGGAGCTCAATTTTGTATTTTTTTTTATTTTTCAAGAATCCGGTTCATTTTTTTCAGTTCTCAGTTTAAAATTGTTCAATTTTTTGATTTTTTTGATTTTTAGGGGCGTCAATTTAAAGTTTTTCATTTAATCGTTTTCTTAACTTTTCAATTTTGCATTTTTTGAATTGCAGTTTTCAATTTTTCAATTTAGGTTATTTAATTTTTGACCGTTTTCTGGATTTATCAATTTTTTATTTCTCCAATGTCTGGATTTACAATTTTCTCATGCGAAAATATTTCAATTTTTGGCCATTTTATTTTTTATTTTTGTCTGGCTTTTTATTTTGAGGATTTTTGAATTCTATAATAATTTTTCGGTTTATCAAACTTTCAAAGCTTTTTTTGTATCTTTAATTTTTTGGTTTTTTAATGTTTCACTTCCTCGATTTTAAATGTACGGATTTTTCGTTTCTTTAATTTTTCAATACGCAATTTGTCAAATTGTCAATTTAAAATTTTCCAATTTGTCAATGTTTTAATTTTTGAATCTGAAAAATTTTTGCTCTGCAATTTTTCTATTTTACAATTACGCAATTTTTCGATTTTTCGGTTTTTAGATATTAAATTTTTTTGACAATTTTTCAATGTCTCTTTTTTTCATTTATTTTAGTTTTTTTTTTAATTATAGAATTTGGGATATTTTCCATTTTTTTTTTGGTCTGCAATTTTTAAAATTTCTAATTTTAAATTTTTCAATTTTTCGCTTTTCTTTTTCATTTGTTTTGTTCATTTTCTACTTTCCCAATTTTTTTGTTTTTTTCAATTGTTCGTTTTAATTTATCAATTTGTCTGATTATACAATTTTGCATTTTTTTTGTTTTTTTACAATTTTTCCAATTCACAGTTTTTTTAATTTTTCGATTTTTCGATTTAATTCGTGGATTGTTCGTTTCTTTAATTTTTCCAATTACAACTTTTCGAGATTTCATTTTTTGACTTCTGCAAGTACTGCAATTTTTCAGGAGCTCAATTTTGTATTTTTTTTATTTTTCAAGAACCCGGTTCATTTTTTCTAGTTCTCAATTTAAAATTGTTCAATTTTTCGATTTTTTTGATTTTTAGGGGCGTCAATTTAAAGTTTCTCATTTAATCGTTTTTTTAACTTTTCAATTTTGCATTTTTTGAATTGCACTTTTCAATTTTTCAATTTAGGTTATTTAATTTTTGTCCGTTTTCTGGATTTATCAATTTTTTATTTCTCCAATGTCTGGATTTACAATTTTCTCATGTGAAAATATTTCAATTTTTGGCCATTTTATTTTTTTATTTTTGTCTGGCTTTTTATTTTGAGGATTTTTGTAATAATTTTTCGGTTTACAAAACTTTCAAAGCTTTTTTTTGTATCTTTAATTTTTTGGTTTTTTAATGTTTCACTTCCTCGATTTTGAGTTTATGGATTGTACGTTTCTTTAATTTTTCAATATGCAATTTGTCAAATTGTCAATTTTAAATTTTCCAATTTGTCAATGTTTTAATTTTTGAATCTGTAAATTTTTTGCTCTGCAATTTTAAATTTTTCAATTTTTCGCTTTTCTTTTTCATTTGTTTTGTTCATTTTCTACTTTCCCAATTTTTTTGTTTTTTTCAATTGTTCGTTTCAATTTATCAGTTTGTCTGATTATACAATTTTGCATTTTTTTTTGTTTTTTTACAATTTTTCCAATTCGCAGTTTTTTTAATTTTTCGATTTAATTCGTGGATTGTTCGTTTCTTTAATTTTTCCAATTACAACTTTTCGAGATTTAATTTTTTGACTTCTGCAAGTACTGCATTTTTTCAGGAGCTCAATTTTGTATTTTTTTAATTTTTCAAGAATCCGGTTCATTTTTTCCAGTTCTCAATTTAAAATTGTTCAATTTTTCGATTTTTTGATTTTTAGGAGCGTCAATTTAAAGTTTTTCATTTAATCGTTTTAACTTTTCAATTTTGCATTTTTTGAATTGCAGTTTTCAATTTTTCAATTTAGGTTATTTAATTTTTGTCCGTTTTCTGGATTTATCAATTTTTTATTTCTCCAATGTCTCGATTTACAATTTTTTTATATGAAAATATTTCAATTTTTGGCCATTTTATTTTCTTGTTTTTGTCTGGCTTTTTATTTTGAGGGTTTTTGAATTCTCGAATAATTTTTCGGTTTACAAAACTTTCAAAGCTTTTTTTTGTATCTTTAATTTTTTGGTTTTTTAATGTTTTACCTCCTGGATTTTTAATTTATGGATTGTACGTTTCTTTAATTTTTCAATATGCAATTTGTCAAATTGTCAATTTTAAATTTTCCAATTTGTCAATGTTTTAATTTTTGAATCTGTAAAATTTTTGCTCTGCAATTTTTCTATTTTACAATTACGTAATTTTTCGATTTTTCGGTTTTTAGATATTAATTTTTTTTTTGACAATTTTTCAATGTCTATGTTTTTCATTTATTTCAGTTTTTTTTTTAATTATAGAATTTGGGATATTTTTCCATTTTTTTTTGGTCTGCAATTTTTAAAATTTCTAATTTTAAATTTTTCAATTTTTCGCTTTTCTTTTTCATTTGTTTTGTTCATTTTCTACTTTCCCAATTTTTTTGTTTTTTTCAATTGTTCGTTTCAATTTATCAGTTTGTCTGATTATACAATTTTGCATTTTTTTTTGTTTTTTTACAATTTTTCCAATTCGCAGTTTTTTTAATTTTTCGATTTTTCGATTTAATTCGTGGATTGTTCGTTTCTTTAATTTTTCCAATTACAACTTTTCGAGATTTCATTTTTTGACTTCTGCAAGTACTGCAATTTTTCAGGAGCTCAATTTTGTATTTTTTTTATTTTTCAAGAACCCGTTTCATTTTTTCTAGTTCTCAATTTAAAATTGTTCAATTTTTCGATTTTTTTGATTTTTAGGGGCGTCAATTTAAAGTTTTTCATTTAATCGTTTTTTTAACTTTTCAATTTTGCATTTTTTGAATTGCAGTTTTCAATTTTTCAGTTTAGGTTATTTAATTTTTGTCCGTTTTCTGGATTTATCAATTTTTTATTTCTCCAATATCTGGATTTACAATTTTCTTATATGAAAATCTTTCAATTTTTGGCGATTTTATTTTTTTATTTTTGTCTGGCTTTTTATTGTGAGGATTTTTGAATTCTGTAATAATTTTTCGGTTTACAAAACTTTCAAAGCTTTTTTTTGTATCTTTAATTTTTTGGTTTTTTAATGTTTCACTTCCTCGATTTTTAATTTATGGATTTTTCGTTTCTTTAATTTTTCAATATGCAATTTTTCAAATTGTCAATTTTAAATTTTCCAATTTGTCAATGTTTTAATCATTTTTCAATTAGGCATTTTTTTCGATTTTTCAGTTTTTAGATATTAAATTTCTGTTGACAATTTTTCAGTGTTTCAATTTTTCAATTCTTACTTGTTTTCATTATAGAATTTTGGATATTTTTCCATTTTTTTTTTGATCTGCAATTTTTAAAATTTCCAATTTTAAATTTTTCAATTTTTCGCTTTTCTTTTTTTTTTGTTTTCTCTATTTTCCACTTTCCCAATTTTTTCTTTTTTTCAATTGTTCGTTTCAAATTATCAATTTGTCTGATTGTACAATTTTGCAATTTTTTTGTTTTTACAATTTTTCCAGTGCACATTTTTTTTTTACTTTCTCGATTTAATTCCTGGATTTTCCGTTTCTTTAATTTTTCCAATTACAATTTTTGGAGATTTCGATTTTTTGACTTTTGCAAGTCTGCAGTTTTTCAATTGTTGATGTTTTATTTTTCCAATTTTTCAACAAAAGCAAAAAGGGATTTTTTTTCAAAAAATTAAAAACGAGAAAACGAAATATCAAAAAACTATAAAATCGAAAAATTAAAAAACCAGAAACCTATAAAATCAAAAAATTAAAAATACGAAAGTTGGAAAATCGAAACATTGAAAAATTTTAGCATTGAAAACTCGAAAAATTACAAAATCAAAACACTGAAAAAAATCGAGAAACTGAAGAATTTTTAAAAATTTTACAATATCGATCCAAAAAAACCTCAGACCATAAAATATAAACAGACAGAGGGGCTTTGTTGTGATTAATCGGAAATTAATCCTAGACTGCGAATTTATTATTACATAGAAAATGTTAGGTTTTAGATATCTATCAATCAATTGGTTATCATTTTTTCTGTGTCCTATGAAGCAACAAGTGCGCATTGGAAAATTTCTTCCTTTTTTAGTGTTCCTTCGGGTGTACCGCAAGGCAACAATATGACCCCATTCTTTTCTTTCTATGTGAACGATTAACTTAAAATTTTGTATTGAATTTGACTATTTAATAGAGTGCTATGGAAATAAAAGATCTAAGGGTGATATTTGACTTGGGAATTGACTAAAATTAGGTACAAGTGTGGATAAAATAAAAAATAATTTATCTTCACCAGAAAATTCTAGAATTTTTTGTAAAGTTGTGTAAACTCACCGGTCTCCCGGTCCGACTTCTCGTCCGCCGAGGTCGAGTCCCCGAACATATCCTGGAGGTTCAAGGGCTCCCTGGGCCCCAGCACCAGCTCCGTCCCCGCCGGTATGTCCATGCACGTCTCGTACCATAGCTGCAAGTTCCAAATTCATTATTCTCTTTTTCCGATCATTTTTCTAACGCCAACACGACCTTTCGTCGTGATTTATCCGCCCGGCATCGCCGTTTGACACCAAATTACTCAAGCCCGTGATGGTAAAAGGTTACGCTGTTCTTCCTCGTGGGTTCAATTATATGTAGGTACAAAAAAAACGTATTTTTAGCTATGCACATCGGAACCCGAGAGAAAACGTGTCATTTTTAAATCTAATTGAAATTTAATTAGCGCAAGCCCCGAGGAACGTTTATGCAAACTTTCGAGCGCAAAAAGTCCGGCAAAATGTGTGTTATTATTTCAATTACATAAAGGCTTTTTTCGAGTGTTTCTGTTGTTTTAATAAGGAGAAAAGTGGCTTGCGTGGAGCGAGCTTTCTTTGGAGGCCGCCGACGGTTTGGTCTTGTTGTGAGAATAAGATTTCGCGGAATTAAATTACGAAAAAAAAAACAAGAAAGAAGTAGAAAGACGAAAAAGGCTTGAGATAAGAGAGTGAGATGACTTACCCTTTTAATTTTTGTAAAATGAAGACGTAAAATGAGCCGACTCATTTCAACAAAACTTGTATCGAAGATTATGTAACCTTGTGTAAAGCGTGATATTTTTGCCGAATTTTATCAACAATCTTATCACGAAGTTGCAATCCTCCTGAATCATCTTTATAAAACAAAACATGTTTCTGCAAACTCGACACTCTAGCGAAATTTCCAAAATCATCACTTCATAGATTACATAGATTTAGTCCAAAATTAAATCAAGAATTATTATAAACGAGAGATTGACGTCAGCATTTAATTCAGGAGCGGGGAAGCACGCAAGTTACGAAAGAAATTGGTCGAAGGTTATTTGACTGAACTTCCCTAGCCCCTGAGGTGCAGCCAACAAATCCTAACAAATATTTGAAAATTATATTTTTTTGTGATTTTCATTTAGTGATAACCTTTACAAAGGAAACAAAATGAAAAAGCAAAAAATTGAGGATTCGAAAAATCGAAATTCGAAAAATATGTACCAATTTTTCGATTTTTCAATTTTAGGACATTCAACTTTTAATTTTCCGGTTTTTCAATTTTTTAGTTTAAAATTTTTCAGTTTTTCGAATTTTTGATTTTGAAATTTTGCACCTTTCGATTTTACAATTTTTCGATTTGCAATTTTTGAAATTTTCAAGTTTTTCCATTTTTTCTCTTTTACAATTTTCAAATTTCGCGAGTCTTAATTTTTAAAAATTTTGTTTTTTCATTCCATCGATTTTTTTGGTTTATAATTTTTGTTTTTTTTGGTTTATAATTTTTGTTTTTTTTTTCGTTTTCACGACTTTTCAATTTTTTATTTTTTCGATTTACAATTGTCCGATTTGAAATTTCTTATTTTTATGTTTTTACCCATTTTAATTTTTTAAATTTTCTTTATTAATTTTTGCTCTACCAAATCTTTCAATGTTTCAATTTTCTCTTTCGTCAATTTTTTGTTTTTAATTTTTTACTTTGTCTATTTTTAATCTAAAATGTTTCAATTTCTCGTTTTTTAGTTTTATAATTTTTTCATTTTTCACTCATTAGATATTTCAATTTTTCATTTTCTCGATTTAAAAATTTTTCAATTTTTAGATTTTAAGTTCTACAATTTTCCAATTTTTCAACATTTCGATTTTTCTAATTCTCAATTTTTAGTTATTTCAATGTTTGTTTTGTTATTCTTATTTTATTTATAATTTTGCAATTTACGAATTGTCAAGTTTAGATTTTTCAATTCTAGAATCCTTCAATCTTTTGATCTGCAAATTTGTATATTTATATTTTTAAATTTTTCAAGTTTTTGTTTTGTCCATTAATTAAAAAAGTGCAAAAGTGAAATTACCGAAAAACGGTAAAATCGAAATATTGAAAAATTGATAAATCAAAATCAAAATCAAAATTGGAAAAATCAAAAAATCGAAAGATTGAGAAATTAAGAAATCGAAAAATCCAAGAATCGAGAAACTGATGTAACCTATATTGGAAAAATTCAAAAATTTTAATTAAAAAAAATCGAAAAATTGGAAAATTGAAATTTTTAAAAATCGGGAAATTGAGAATTCGAAAAATCGAAACATCGAAAAATCTTGATAAATACAGAAATGAAGATTAGTATTTTCTTTATGTTCCAATTTTTTGATTTCTCAATTTTTTGATATTTCATTTTTTTGCTTTCTCAATTTTCCGATTTTTTAGTTCCCGATTTTTAATTTTTCGGTTTTTCGATTTTTCAGGTCATCGGTTTAAAATTTTTCACTTTTACAATTTTTCAATTTTCCTAATTTTCATTTTTAGAAATATTTTTATTTTTTCATTTCATCGATTTTCCAGTTTCACGATTGTTAAATTTTCGATTTTTCCATTCCTAGGTTATTTAATTTATTTTTTTTTTGTTTTCACTATTTATCGTTTTTTCATTTCTTCAATTTTTCGATTTACAATTTTCCAATTTGAAAATTCTTATTTTTTTTTTGTTTTAATCCATTTTGATTTCTTAATTTTTCTTTATTAATTTTTCCAAATCTTTCAATGTTTAAATTTTTTCCACTTTTAATTTTTTTAATTTTTCATATTCTCTATTTTGAATTTAAACTGTTTCAATTTCTCGATCTTTTAATTTTACAATTTTGCAATTTTTCGATTTATTTAAATACCTAATTTTTGCAATTAATCTTCGAGTTTTCAATGTTAATTTATCAATTTTGGATTTGTGGATTTTGGGTTTCTTTCTTTAATTTTTTAGCTTTCCAATTTTTCAATATTTCGATTTTTCCATTTTTCAATACCTAGATACTTCAATTTTTTGTTTTATTATTTTTATTTAAAAATGTTTCAATTTTTCAATTTTTTGGTCTGCAATTTTTATGTTTATATTTTTTATTTTTCAAGTTTTAGATGTTTCAATTTTTTATTTTGTGTACTTTTCGGTTTCTCGATTCTCAGTTTTTCTGAATTCAAAATAGAAAAACTCGAAGAACTAAAAAATCCAAAAATCAAAAATGTTAAAATATATAAAATCGAAAAACTGAAGAAACGAAATATTGAAAAATAGAGAAATCGAAACATAAAAAATCTAAAAATCTGAAAATTAAAATCGAAAATATAAAATTAAAAAAATCGAAATATTGAAAAATACCAGAACTGAAATTCCAAAAAATTGAAGAATCGGAAAATTAAACTATCAAAAATCGAAACATTTAAATCTTTATAGATCGAGAAATCGAAAAAATGAAAAACTGAAAAATCTAAAAATTGAAAAATTGAAGAATCGAAAGTTTGAGAAATAGAGAAATCGAAAAATCTAAAATTTAAAATCGAAAAATTAAAAATTTAAAAATCGAAATATTGAAAAATTCCAAATTTGAATTATTAAAAAATTCATAAATCGATAAAACGGAAAATTAAAAGATTGAAAAATTCCAAAACTTAAACGTTGTGAAATTGAGAAACCGAGAAACCGAAAATTGAAAGATCAAGAAATAGGGAAATCAAAAACTCGACCAATCAAAATATCGAGAAATTGAACAATTGAAACCCATGAACGGCATAAACTGAAAAATTGAAAAATCGTATTTTGGAGAATAAAAAAGAAAAAACATGAAACTATATATCGGAAAATTGAGAAATCGAAAAGTCAAAAAATTCAAAATTTTAAAAACCTAAACGATGAAAAATTAAAAACTCAAATGGAAAAGTTGAAAAATTTCAAAAATGGAAAAACTGAAAAGTCGGGAAATCGAACATCAAAAAGTCCACAAATCGAGAAATAAAAAATCGAAACATGGAAATCTCTCTGAATCGAGAAAAACTGAAAAATTGAAAAATCTAAAAACTGAAAAATTGAAAATTTTTAAAACCGAAAAATCTAACTAAAATTTAAAAATCGAAATATTGAAACATCCCAAAATTGCATTATTAAAAAATTAATAAATAAAACGGAAAATTGAAAAATATAAAAATCCCAAAACTGAACATATAAAACTTGAGAAATCGGAAAATCGAAAATTGAAAAATCGAAAAATAGGAAAATCAAAAACTCCACCAATCGAAAAATCGAGAAATTGAAAAATCGTAAACCTAGGAACGCCAAAAACTGAAAAACTGAAAAATCGTAATATTGGAGAATTAAAAAAAAAAAATGAAAAAAATGCGAAACTACATATCAGAAAATTGAGAAATCGAAGAATTGAATAATCGCAAACTCTTAAATACCGGAGAATAAAAAAATTTAAAAAAATATCAGAAAATTGAGAAATCGAAAAATTGAAATCTAGAAAGTGATAAATCGATAAACTAAAGAATAAAAAAACTGAAAAATTCCAAAACTAAAATATCGAAAAATTGAGAAATCGATAAGTCGAGAAACCGAAAGTCGAAATATCGAAAATTGTAAAAATCTAAAAAATTGAAAAATCAAAAACCTGAGAAATCGAAGTATTGAAAAATTTGAAAATCAAAAAACTAAACCGAAAATCTGAAAAATCAAGAAATTAAAATATCGAAAAATTAAAGATTCGAAAGAAAACTCGAGAAATCTTGAAATCGAAAAGTCGCAAAATCGAAAATTTTAAAAATCCAAAAATTGGAAAATCAAAAACCTGAGAAATCAAAAAATTGAAAAATTTTAAATTCGGAATCCTGAAAAATCGAGAAATCGAACATTCAAAAGCCCTCAAATCGAGAAATGGAAAAATTTTAAAATTTCAAATCGAAATATTGGAAAAATTCCCAAGCAGAACAATCGAAAGATCAAAAATGTTACAATAAACAAAAATACAAGAATAAAAATATCGAAAAACTGAATAATCGAAATAATTATTGAAAAAGTGAAAAATCGAAACATCAAAAAATCGAAAATTCAAAAAATTAAAATATTGAAAAATAGCAGAACTGAAATATCGAAAAATTGATAAATTGATTTCACGACATCGAAATCTCTACAAATCGAAAAATCGAAGAAGT